TACATTGAAAAATTCTTTATTTCATAGAATCAATTCATCATACCGTTTACCAAAATGTATTAATGGATAACGAGAAACGAAACTATTTCACGCATATCAATAGAGGTTTTGGTAATGAATCAACAACCAAATGATCGTAAAAATAAAATAGATAAAAACACAACTAAATTTTAATAAAAAACATAACACAATTCAATATAATTTGGAAGATAATAGAGCATCAAATTTGCTTCATCGTCTTCATTGCTCGTCATCTTCATTGTGTGAATAGACGTTTGAAAATATAAAACCATCGTGAAAATTTTATTTATTTGATCAACACCCACAAGGGTTCCGTCTTTCTTTGTACTTTTAGAATCTAAAAATCCACTTTCGGTATTGCTAGTTCATTCTTGTCATTCGTTATGATTTTACCACCTCAGTCAGAAGTTACCAACCAAAATTTCTAACTGAGAACAAGACGAAACAAAATAATGAAATATGATAATCATTTTTTTTTCTTTCTTTTAAATACAAAATCTGTTTTGCAGGAAAATAAAAACCGGACCGAACAACAAAGGTTTAACCGAGAAGCTAAAGATCATTTTTTTAGGAGGAGAGAAAGAGAGAAGCTAAAATCGTAGTGCGCGGGAATGCCGATACTTCGTCTTCCTTATCTTCGTGCCTCCCCTCTTTCCATTCTCTTCCTCTCACCGATTCTCTCCAGAACCGCCACCGTTTCTTTTTGTTCGGTGTCGGAGTTCGCCGTCTCCGTCGCGAAACGCGTAAGAAGTGTACTCTTTTCAATTCATCAATTTCGTTTAGGGTTTTATGGTTATTCTATTTCTGATTATAAATTAATCTTTCAGGGTCCTCTCAAGCCTGGTCTCTACCTTGTCGGAACTCCCATCGGTAATCTCGAAGACATCACTTTACGGTACTCTCAACTCAATCCAAAGTTTTCTCTTTTTTCCTAAAATCTTACATGATCCTTGTTCAATCCAATATGTTCCAAAGAATTGCTTTCATTTTATCATTTCCTTACACATTTGTTACTGTCTAGTAATTTACTTTTGATGCATCGTAGAATGTTTTTGTGTTTTTATATAATTGGGTTGTTTATGCCTTTGTCCTGATTTCTCTGACAAATCAGAAGCTGTTTCCGGTTGATTTTGCTACATTAGTTTATATCTTCTTCTTCTTTTTTTTGTGGGTCTATGGCAGTGCTATTCGTGTGTTGAGATCTGCAGATGTGATACTTTCCGAGGACACGAGACACTCTGGGAAGTTGCTTCAGTACTACAATATTAAAGCTCAGCTTGTGAGTTTTTCTCTACTCTCTTGGCTGCCGTTTACTTGAATTGTTTTGAATTGACGAGGTTTAGGTGTTTTTAGCTTAGTTATCACAAGTTCAATGAGGCGCAGAGAGAGCAGGCGGTGTTGCAACGACTGAAACAGGGAGAGATTGTGGCACTTATCAGCGATGCTGGCACACCCGGAATTAGTGATCCCGGTACTGAACTTGTGAGTGCCAAAACTCTTTACACTGCTTCATATTCGATCTGACAGGGCCAGTTTTTTTCTGTAATCAGCTTATGTAAGGCTGAAAACAAAGGTTTTAGTGTTCCTATTTCGTAGTCGGAAAATGTTTTGGAGACCATACAGGCTTGTATAGTCACTAAAGCACATTTCTTGTTTCTTTCTATGAATGGAATTATGAGAAGCAACTGTTATGATCTTTCTACAGGCTAAAATATGTGCGAAAGAGAATATAGATGTCATTCCAATCCCTGGGGCTTGTGCTGTAGTTGCTGCTCTTTCTGCCTCTGGTTTGGAGACAGATGAGTTCACATTCGGTAACTTCCCTTTATATACAATTTTTGTCCTCTCAGCAATCTTGGTCAAGCTACTGCACAGTATATAAAGTTTATAAAATCTCCGAAAAACCTTTTTTTTACAGTTGGATTTCTTCCTAAGCATTCTGGAACAAGGAAGGAGAGGCTGATGGTTTCATCAAATGAGACAAGAACACAAATATTTTATGTTCCCCCTCATAAGTTATCTCAGTTTCTTGAAGAAACCACCCCTTACTTTGGTGAATCAAGGTTTATATATTTCTTTGGATGTTTCAAGCAAGTTATCTTTACTAAACAATCTGCTGAATTGATATGAATACACATTCACTCCATTTTACTCTCTTTTTCCTTGTTCCTTATTGTTAAAAACTACCACATTAAGCCTTTCTCGATGCAATTGTCAAACGCCAAGAAAATGATGCGGTATCTTTTTTATCTTCCAGTGTTATGAGCATAGTCCTGACATCTAATTTATGTCGTGCAGGCAATGTGTAATAGCTCGAGAGATTACAAAGCTGCATGAAGAGGTAACATCATTTATCGCTTCTAAACCATGACATGTTAACATACATAAACGGTTTATACTAAAACCATGCACTCCTACTATAGTTTTGGAGGGGTTCGGTAGGGGAAGCCAAGCAAGAGTTTCTGATTAGGCTACCAAAAGGAGAAATCACTCTTTTGATTGAAGGAAAGAAAGAAACAAAAGCTGAAAACCCAACGGAATCTCAACTTGAAGAAGCGTTAAGAGAGCTGATCTCTGATGGGCATAGCCTTTCAGCGGTAACCATTTTGTTATGAGAACGTCTCCTTCTTGGAAACTAAGCTTAAAACATAAGTTACACCAATATATGATTGGACTATAGACATGTTGAGTTCCTGGAGATGGATATATAAATTTATGATTCTAAATCTAACATCAACCTTTGTCAGGCGGTGAAAGTGGTGGCGGAAAGAACATCGATGAGAAAGAAAGAGGTATATTCGCTGGCATTGAAGAAATTCGGGAAGCAGATTCAGGTAGAAGATGAAGCTGATGAGTAAATGAGAGGCTTTTGAAGCTTTTGCTTCGACACAGTTTTTGCTTCAAACTCATCAATTTCATGTTGTAAAACTGTTTAGTGGGTTCTATTATGATCCTAAATCCTTAAAAGCCTTTAGCTTTGGATCTTGATTTGGTGGGTTTGAAGTATAGTCAGAGTTAGTTACTTCAAACTGTTCGTAGGTTTTTGGTGCTCAAGAAAAATTCACGATCAAATCTGTTTTCCCCAGGCTTGATATGTGCATATTAGTTTTGTAGGAAAAATAATTTGATAGGTTAAGAAAGTAAACTTGGAGATACCAATAGTTCATATGAGTTTAAATCCATAACGATAAACCATATTTGAATAGTCTTCTTTGACATATAATTAAGAGAACTAGAATATGATCCGCGCATTCGCGCGAAATTTATTTAGTATTTTAGGTTATGATAAAAACAACCAAGTCTTTGTACATATAAAAAATTATATTTGATTTAAAATAAAATAAATTAATGTTTTGAATTAGTTTTAAGGCTGCATGAAAATATCAAAGTTACCATTTAAATTTTATTTGTTTAAAACTTTGTTATGTAAATATATTTGGTCATTAGATAAATAATATTATCTAGATAATCGGTTACGAATTTGAAGATAAAATTTATCAGTGATATTCTAATTTATCTTTATAGTATGATTTATCAATCATAGTTAGTTTTTATATGTCTTCATAATGTTTCTTTGTTATTTTTTTATACTTCGCACTTCACAATTTTTTTAGTATTGTGGCATATGGAAGATACTGAACAACATCTTGTTTGCTTGTTGTTTACATTCTTTTCAATCGCGGAATGGGAAAGGTTATCTCTCCATCAGTAAGGAGGTGTAAGTTTGATTTAGGTTTGTGGTAGCCAGAAGAATTAAAGAAACCCCTAGATCCTTTTGATTCATATTTTTTTGTCATTTATCTTCGTCTCATAAGTTTATATATATTTTGGTTTTTGTTAATCGTAGAAAAATAGTTGAGATTTTAAGATACTATATCTTAAACTTTGGTCTTCATAATGTGTGGTTGAATGTAAATTTTTTTTTTTGAACTACAAATATTTTAGTAAGAAAAGACCTTTCATATTTCATGGAATATATAACTTTTAAAAATAATCTAGAAAATATTGTTATTTTTTTAACATTTTATTACGTCGGTTGATTTTACTATTTGTTTCAAATATAAAATTCATAAACACATTTTGGTTTTCTTTATGTGTAATATATAACTTTGGTAAAACAAATTCATATTATCATTACTAATAAAATCATGTATAGTCTTGTATTTATTAATTTTCATTAAATATATTCATTTTCATTCATTTTATTTAGTCTTTCACGTTTTTTAGTCTAATCTAATTTTTTAATAATTATAAAAATAATACATATGAACTAGTGTGTAGTATATAACTATTTTAAAACTTAAATGTTTTTAAAAATATTTTTGCCAATGTACTCTTCCTCTCTAGGCAATATTTACTTTGTAATCTCTCTACTTTTTTTCAATGTTTTTTTCCTTGATACTGTTAACCATTAAATCCATATCTTTTTAAGAAAAGAATAATAATGAAAAGACCCCTAATGATTTTGCTACAGCCAAGAAACCGTTCCAATAGTCGGGGAATACATATGTCTTTTATTTTACTGCATAACTACATCATTTTCATCCACGAGCTCTTTGGTGTTTCCAGCCTCGGTTAAAAGAAGCAGTGACTCCTTCATAGAGACGGTGTCTGCAGAAAATCATTGACAAATACTGAAGCTGCTCGTCTTCCATTGATAACCATCCTGCGTTGAAACCAACACCAAACTGCTTTAGACAGCATCAAGACACCAGACTTATACGATTGCAAAGAACTCGCTTTTCATGCATTAGCTAGCAGTCGGATTTATTGTCATGCTTATTTCACCTTTACTGAACTACACGATCTACCCTAACACAGCATGTACACACATATATATATATACTACTCAGGGTTTATTCATTATAAATGTTTCTCGAAAATTTTAGACAGGAGATGGTGCCTACCTTGTCTCAACAGTGCACGCCAAGATTAAAGCTAATTTCTGGTTTATATGCAGAAATAAAAGCATCCAAAGACGCAACTCCATCATTAGTGAAGTCCATAACCTAATTAGATAGAAACAAACATCAGCACCTAATCAATGAAGTCTTCTATCAATTTCTTAATAAAATTCGCAAAGAAAAACCCATGTGAAAGCATATCCAATATCCTCATGCTTGTCTAA